TTTTTGCATACTCATATTTTGACTTATTCGTACTCATCTTTTGACTTCATCTTCATCGTTTGACTTATAACCAATTCTCCATCATTTTAATTCTTCATCTGAGTTTAGCTTTTCATGGATTCGGAAATGACTTGAGAAAATCCGTGAACAGAGTTTGGATCAAAATGTCAATTTTAGTCTTGGGCAAAAGCAATTACATATTCAGAAATAACTTTAGAAAACCGATGTAAAGTCCATTCGGTTACTTTTTACTCATGTGGATCAATTACAATTTGGCAAACAGCTCACTGAAATATTAAAAGTTTAAGACCAGACGGCAAAAAATGATTATCAGAGGGTGACAATGGGTAATGGTTTTTACATATTAACGGTTAAATTTTCCCTTTTTTACGGCAACAGGCTAACTCAAAATGACACAAAATGACACATTCTAGAAAGGCAAAATGTTTACGGTTAACTTTTGTGACGACTAACGGTTACAATTTGTCAATGTTTACGCTGAAATGGCGGTTTCACATCTAACGATTACCCCCATGAAGAACATGTCATCAATATTTTCTTGCATATTACAAAGAACGTATATTATTATCATAAAAAGAAAAATTATGCGGGTGAATAATTCTCGATTTTTTTATTGTTGATTTAGCACTAACCTGTGTCACATATATCATTTGAATGATCAACTTTTCTAATGGGATAAATTGAGGAAAAAGAGAGTTCTGAATACCTACCAAGAACCAGATGATGATTCCTGACAGCATGGCTCCTGTTATGCAAATAACAATGAGTTCCCATATTTGTTTAAATGCGTGAAGAATTTGACGGCCGATGGAAAACGATTCTTCTTTGATGGCCACTAAAGGAAAGAACTCTGCCTCTAAAAGTGTAAAATTTGAAGGGCTAGAAAAGAGAGGAAATGTTACATTTACAATTGGGCTGTTACAACCAGTTGTTTCATTTACTTTTGAATAATCTGAAAGGCAGTCTTGTAGGATATCTTTCACTGTGTAGTTCCACTCAGATTGCCTTTGTCTCGCAAAAAAATCCTCAATCCAGTTGAACCTCACACAACCATCGATAGAAGCATTTTGGTCCTTCGACGGATGAGCCACTTTGACATGTGAAATGATTAAAAAGAAGAGAAAACACTTGCACGACATTTTGGTGCAGGAGATAGCCTGCACGTTCTGTTGATTCCCGGAGGCCGCAATTTTTAAGGACCAGTTGACGCCAAGCATTTATTGATAGAACCTTGTCATGTCACCAACAGATGTTCCAATGAAACTGTTCTTGCTCTGACCAATTGCACCGTGCAATTAGGTCAGAGCAAAAACAATACGGCGTACTCAAAGAATCGTGGCGGGAAAACTTCTGAATGCCGGAGAAGCTTTTAAATAAATACGATCATATGGCATCAAAATATCAATGAACTCAACTTTTGTTAGGTGTTTTTGGTGTATTCCAAGGAGGAATTTCCATATTGGATCTTCATGAGTATGTGCCGGTATTAACCTTTAGCCCTAGTTTCCAGGTTCTCTTTTCTTCCCGCCACCTGAGGCAAGGGAAAAAGAAGGAGAGTCTCTCGGTGTTGGTCGCATGTCTCTCCAGGGGAGGGGTGGGAAGAAGGAAGGCCCTGGGAACGAGAGTATAACAAGTTATCTTGTTGTTCTGGAGGCCTTAAATAGGGTGTGAACATTGGTTGCGATTGTATCTAGCGGCAGTCTGCTCTTTTTTCGGCTTCAGAAGCAGAGGGAGGCAATTTGTCTGTGCATATTCTGTAAATATTTTCTTGATACGAGAAACTGCTGGTATAGACCTGCGTCGGAAAATACGTTGGAAAAAAATAGTAGATCGAGTATTTGAGAGAAACTTTCTTGAAATTTTTCCCTCTGTAACTTAGATGGAAGCGTCAGAGTCTTAAAATTG